ACCACTTAAGAGGTTGATCTGCTACAAAAAAAAAAAGCCCCTGAAGCAGGGAAACAAACGTGTGTGTGATGGAAGCCACTAGAGGATGACTGAGAGCTGCTTTTTTTGGTAGTATTTTGTACCTGCCCAAAATTTTTCAGTTACCTTTCTGAGAAATAAGGAGGTAGAGATGATGAGATTTGCCTCTGCTTATGTTGAGGACCAAAGAATCTCAGTGAGTCAGGCAAAGTGAATCAGAAAGATTCACTTGCTGTTTTTTTTCCCCAAACATTTTATTAAGCAAATGATTACTTGTAAAAGAGGAAAATGGTAGTTCCCTTATATATTAAGAAAATAAGGTTGGATGAATCACTAAGTTGATAATACTACAAGAAGTTATAGGGATCGTCTCTAGAAGTGCTGAAACTGATCCTGTTGGTATTCTCTCTGGTAACTTGAGTTGGTAAATGTGAGAGTATCTGTTTTTTCTCAGCTCCAAAATTGTTGAAAGTAGGAGCCTGTGTTTATGAAAGTTCTTACAACAGAGACCTGAATCATACAATTTACACTGAATTTATGGGCACTGTCTTCTTTACTCAGCTGTCTCTTGTCACGGGAGAAATGGGAGGATGCCCAGATTCCAAGGGAGTGTTGTCTGTTCTTATGAATCTTGATGATTATTCACTTACACATAGTGGTTGTTAAGTGTAGACCTGAACCACTGTTTTTAGTCCTTCTGCTTGGAAGGGATTTCTTTCCTTCTCTCCATCCACTGGGTCTGTGGAGGCACCTGACTGCTGTGATGGGCATAAGAACATCCTTTAACTTAAAAATACAAGTTGAGGAAAAGGTGTCTTCCTACTGAATGGTCCATTGCTCATTTTAATGGTTAATCTTATAGTTACCACATGGTAGCATTGTGGAATGAGCTGGTTCTTCTCTATATTGCTGTTATTCTTAAAGGTCAAGATGAAAACTTGAAAGGTGTTGACTAGTTTTCACCATGGCTTGGGAGAACTGTGAGCTTCGGCAGAGGGATTTGGAACTCTGTTGCATGTAATAGTTTCTCCTTAATCTTTCTTTGTTCAGAAGGATGCCTTAGCAACCTCTACAGCTAGGAACTTATAAGTGTAATACTAGCTCTTTAGAAGTGTGCTGAATTGTTTCATCTAACACCATAAAAGTGGCTTAATAGCTTTCCAAAGAAGAAAATAAAAGTTTTACTATTTTTTTACCAGATCAAAAAAAAAAATCCAGGTGTTTTCTTCACGTGACAGACTGTGATGGAGTAAATTTTTACATTCGCGCAATAAAGCATGCATTCGATAGGTTCTTGTATGTATTATGCATATACCTGGCTATCTAAAACTGTCTGAACAATACACACAATATACTGTTGGAAAAGTATCTTTCGAGTTCTGCTTGATAATGTAGGGGGGGGAAAAAGCAATCCAACCTGTTCTGCAGTTGCTAGAACATATATAAAGACAAGTGAAGTTTTTCCCTGTAGGGAGCAGCTGGAGTGCAAAATATCCCGAACTTCAGTTCTTGCACATTTTTTTTTTCCCTATTTCTGTGGGTTCATCCTATAGCAATAAGGGAAACTGTAAAAATTACTATATACCAGCTGCTGAAACTTGAAGCGCATTGGGAGAGCAGAGTTGATTGCTAACCAGTATTTAAGTTCTGTGCCAGCTGTGCAGAATAAACATTTCTGTAGCTTTTCTTGAAATAGTTGAACTGTAGATGAAATGCTATTTTCATGTGAGAGTTCTTGTTCCGCGTGTTTCAGACAACTGCTTTACATCTATAAAAATCCTTTATTACATCTTCAGGGAAGAAGGTTTCTGTATGACTATTTTTCATTAAGGTCGGTTTTTGTCATGATAACTTATTCTCAAAAGTCTGCTCTTTTAGAGCTTTGCTGAGTGAATTTCAGAGTAAAGGAATACAGCTTTTAGGAAGCCTCAAAGGAATTTAACAAAGGATAATACTAGAGATGCTTACAAATGGCATCTTGAAAGTGTAGTGTGAACATATAATCTTTATTTTCATTAGTCTTTTAATGCTTCTATTTATCTCCTTCAGCTTCCTATGTAATTCAGCTTGACTTTTAATTAGCCATTAAGGGACTGATTGCTATAACTATACAACTGTTGATAATTCTACTTAAGTTGTTCCCAGTAATATTGTGAAGCTACACTGGAAACTGAGTTAGTTTTGTCACCATATTTATTTGTATTTTGCAGGTTTTGTTCAAAGTTCAGTAAAGTAGTACATGCAATGGGTGGGATGCGATCCTACAGACATACACTTGAGATTGTTGGGACACTGGCTGACATGAAAATTGGTCATAGATCAGATTTTGATTGAGTAATACTAACTTAATCATATTCAGTGAATAAATAGGGAGCTTTAAGCATAAACTCATTCATTAAAACTGGGTGTCTACTGAAATCATGGACTTAATGATCAGCATGTGGGCAGACAAGATTATTGCTACTTAGTACAGAAGTTCATTTCTTATAGCTTAGTCTCTACCAATAAAAATAAATTATTGCACTTTTCATAAGCACACACCAAAATTGGAAAGTACATTAAATTTGCCAAAAGGGTAAAACATATTGCAGCAAATGCCAGTCCAAACTAAGTACTGTGTGTTACATTGCTTATTTAGTCTTTATAGTTGGAAAAAAAAAGTCACCTGCGATCACTTCTTAAAGAATGCAATAAAAGTCTTGTAGGAAAAGCGAATTTAAGTTGAATATTTGGATACTAATGTGCTTACACTTCCTTCACAGAACAGCTGCTTTTAGGTCACAGTTGCTTGACACTCACCTCTGGTTTTGTAAAGATTTGTGTGTTTGTAATAAGAGCTGATACTGTGCTGCGTTGATCCAGAACGGCAAAACTTCAGGCTGCTTTCAGGCACGTGTCTTAATCTGTCAGGATCTCTTTCCACACACAGCTGATAGACTTGCTTATCTCTAGTCTGAAGCACACAAATATAAGTTCTGGTAATGTATAACGCAGAAATTAACTCTCACACTAGGAAGGCGAAGGATGTGGAAGCGCAGGGTCTGGTTATTTCTGCCATACCGACTTACATAATACAGAGTCTGAACAGCTAAAGCTCGTGAGATCGGTTAACAGTAGTGAAGCAGTCTCGTGTCCTTCCAAAACCTTGTACATAACATTTTAACTCTTATAAAAACTTAATATTTAAGTCTTAAGGCAGGGTGCAGTTGCATAAACACAGGTGTCTGGTGTCCTTTTAGACGCAACAGGGTGTGATGCCAATGCAAAAGGCTGTGCATCACCTGCATAGGTCTTGCTGTCATATCTGCCCGTGCCGTGGAGATGTCTCAGACGCCCTGTATTCAATATACTTAAACTTTGCAGTATTAATGAACTTAGCATTGTGGTTTTTACTTTATGCAGCTGAAATACTGCATGTTTTTGAAAAAATAGTTCACTGAAGGCAAAACTGTAAAATGGACACACTTCAATGTGTCTGTAAAATCAGGTTGTACTGCATTTTTTGTTGCATACCACTTGAAAAAAGTCTTCATACCAAGTTTTGTTTTGCACAGCGCAGCATCCTTATAGAAGTAGCCTTCCATCTAGCTGCTGTGTGGTGCAAATACACATTTTTCAAATGATAAATAAGAAATAACCTTCATGTGCTTGGTTGGATTAAACCAGCTTATTTCCCAGTCCTTTCCCCATTCATTCGTTGCACAGATTGCTTCGAGCACAGTCGTATTTGTTTCTATCACATGTTTACATTTACATGCTAAATGGATATGTATGTGCTGCATTTGATAGTACTAAACTGGTGTGCAGGTTCGTGTTCTGTGCTGGTGCTGTGTACATGTGTGCTCCTGTGTGTACAGCCGTAGAAGGATGTTCCTCCACAATCTGAGATATCCCTTTTCTTGGCTTTCTACCCTTTTCTAGATGAGCATTATTTGAATGCTTCTCTTTAATTTGAAGGATGGAGGGGAAAGGCAGTCTACTGGAAAAAGGAAACCTCTCCTGCCCTCTGGCTTCTCTTCCTACTTGATTGTAGTGCTATCTATCTCTTCTTCACAGCTGTTAGGTACTGTGGGCATGAGGTGGTCAGAAGAGAGGATTGCGTCTTCTGAGAGTGGCATGTCCTGTTCCAGGGCTAACTTCCCTTCTGTCCCCTGCAAGCTGAGCTTTGTAGGGGAAAGAGCACTCTTGTCACTGCCTCGCTTGGCTCAAAGCCTCGAGAGAGTGTGTGCTCCTTCTTTTCATAAACTAAACATTGGCTTTTTTGGTGAATTTGTACTCCTAAGTTATTTTTCTGTTGTGTACTTGCTGATGATGCTGTTTTTAAAAAACTTCTGTAAATTTAGGATTTGTATTGGCTATAATTAATTTATAGTGGAAGTAGGAAGAATGATGTATTTCTGTAGCCTTTACTATTTTTTTTTTTAATTCAAGCATTTAAAAAACTAATAGCATGGCTGATAAACTGGTTACTACAGATTTTTAATAGTTATGAGGATAACCGTATCCATAATACTAAAGGCTTTGGTTTTAAGCTCCTTTACAGAACCTTTTCTTCCATTTTCTTGCGCTCTTGATATGATCAATGTAGGTATAGTAGAGCAACCACTTGTCCATCACATGAATTCTGACAAATATTGAAATGGTTAAAACTCCTGTGGGTTCAGAGTTGGACCTTTGAAGCAGTACCAGCACCCTTTCATTTAACAGCCTCCTGTGCATTAGTGTGAGAGAATACTATTGTGTCCATTTTATAAAAGTGTCATACGACTTAAAATTTAACACATTCTGCTTCTTCAAAGTATTACAGTGTTTGTGGCAATTGTGCTTAAGACTAGAAACATGATTCTGTTATATGGTTAATTAAAAAAAGGGTAGATTTTAATATGAGCTCTGTCAGTGGAAGACATCAACAAAGGTTTTTTTGTTGGCTGTCAAGTGAGAAAAACAGAAAAGACTTAAGTTCTTTCTCTAATATTTCCTTCCAGGCTGACTCATCAGTAGAAATTGGGAAGAGCTGCAGAAGAGAAGCCAAACAGACAAGCTGATAACTCAAAGAAATACTCTTTTGAGTTGGGGGTTCAGAGTGGAGCCATCATGAGCGATGTTACCATTGTGAAGGAAGGCTGGGTTCAGAAGAGGGGTAAGTTCTACCTTTTAACGGAAAGTTCTTCTGACATATCATACACTTTGTGCAGTGGCATTACATGGTTACACATCTGAGCATTCTTGATTTATCTTCTGGTCTGCAGCGAGCTAATCTGACCATATGGAATTAATGGCCATTAAGGCCTTGGTCTTGTTAATACTTAACCCTCAGCACTGCCCCTGTTTGTTTATAGGGGTAACTGACAGTGAAGAGGAAGTTGGACTCAGTAATTCCCACTTAACCTTGCTGTTGCAGCTGCTGTCACCCATGTGTCAGACTAAGTAGGCTGTTGTGGCAGCTGGAAGAGGTAGTAATAGAGGTGCACAGTAGAAGGTTGCCTGGAAGCTGTTACGGATGCGATACTTTGTGTGAAACTTCCGAAATGCCAAAATCATTCACTGTAGCTCAGCTTGTATTACAAATGCAAGTAGTTCCCGTAAAAACAACATGATACTTGCATAAAGCTCAGCATATACCTCATTACTTTGCAGACCTGGAAGCCATACGATTAAAGAATATGTTCATAATTACAAACCAGTCTAAAGTATGATTTTTCTGTTACATTTGAATTCCTGTAATTTCTTGAAATGTCGCTTTATAATGTGTCACCATGTGATTTACAAATTTGGGAAGGCTGCTGTATGTTAAGCTTTGAATGGGAAACCTTTAGAAATATCTGGCATTTGTATCATGTAATGAACTTCGGATGAAATCTTCCATGCTTCATGCTGGTCTGCTTTGGGTTGTGGTTGCATGCATGATTATTTCCAAAAGAACATCATCTCTCTTGCAGAAAGAAGGTGTTCTGGATTATAGGGTGATTTATGCCATGAGCTTCTGTGATTCTAGCCCAGAAAGATTTAGGCTGGAATTGTGGGAACAAAATTACCCTTTAATTTACAAAGCAATGCTTTGTTTCAATAGCAGTGTGTGAAGACAAAGATTATTATTAGCTTTGTTATTGCAGATTGACATTAAATGTCAAAGAAGCCAAGAGAATAAGAGAAAAAGTTTATTACTCTGTTATTATTACTGCATAAATTGTATTTCAGGATGCATTATGGGCAATTTAGATGAAAACAGAAGCTATGTGAAGCTTAAGATCTGCTTCTTATTGTGGAATATATACTTACATTTTTAATAAATGAAATTTTACATGCCAGGAACTATTTAAAATTTTAAATTATTTTTCTTTCACATCTTGTTGTTGTTTACTCAGTTTGGGTATCTGATTTCCTTTTTTGATTATTACATTTGAAAGAAATTTATATGAATTAGAAAATTATTAGGATAATCTAAAGAATTTTCTTTTACATGACATCAGTTCCTTCAGGTAATATTGCTCATTCATATTACATCCTGATCAACTCTGTGAGCACTGGGTATGCATATATTAATCACTGGGGTCCAGAAAAGGACAATGTACGATGAAACTCAATGTCTTACTGAATATTTGAAATTCTGAAATATAAAATAAAGGTTTTCCTCCTCATGCTGTTTAGCTATCTATTAATTGAAGAAAAGCCTACTGAGTTGAGATTTTGATGTCAGTTTTGACATCCTTTTTTCTTTTCTAAGTAAAAACATTTCATGACATGCATTTTTCCTTGCTTCATTGAACTTTGAGTGAATGTATGGAGTTTTTTTTTCCTTCTTGCTATAGGTAACTATGTAGGTTTAAGCGGGAATTTTTTTTTTCATTAAATCTAATATTGTCCTTGATTTTCTGTGTCTGACTTATGCTGGTTGGTGGTGGATTAAAGTGTTCATTTTGTTTGTTTCTGAAAACAAAAGGAGAAGTGCACTGGTGTTTTCCAATCTCAAAAATTTGTAAGCATTTAATACAATGGTTATATATTTCATGTAATTACAACTTCTACCCTGACCTTGCTCTGGAGCAAGAGAGTCAAAGTTGTTAATGGCTTTTTTTTTAATTGTTTCCAAGAAAAAGTGTCGAACCTTAATCTAAATTCTGAAAGTTGGAATATGCTCAGTAGACACTCCTTATTTTGGCAGCTAAATATTCTCTCTCTGTACCAAGATGCATTGTGAGATTGGGTAAAGCTGCCCTACTTCTGCAAGCTATCATGCTGTTATGGTTTTAAAGTGAATTCTTTGATCATCCCCACTTGACGCTCATTGGCTCAGTTTAGAGGGTGGTTTTTGTAGGTACAAACCAGGTTCCTCCTGGAGGAAGCTGAGCATGGGATCTCTCCTCCAGGCGAACACTGAGTGAACTCTGGCCCCAGTGATCGGTCCTTTGGACAGCCCTGAACCATGTGTGTGGTGCAACATTCAATCTGAGGCTCCAGACTGAATTTAGCTTGAAATAAAACCTGTGAACCCTGCATGCTGGAAACACAGGGGCGTAGGCATCAGCTGCTTCAGTTGACTGATCTGCTTCTGTTATGCTGAATTACTTGGTCGCGTGCATATAGCTTAGGACATTTTAAAATTGTTCCCTTTGGGAGTCAGGAAGGTCTGTGATATATGGAAAAGAAGAAAACAATCTCTCTGCCATTCACAGCTCAGTCAAGTAGTATGAGGATGACTTGAAAGTACTGGGATGAAGAATGGTTTTGAGTAGCCAGCTAATGAGACAGGTCATTACAAAAGTGGGTTAAGTGAACTACATGTAGGAATGAGAAGGGAGGAGTAAAAATTGAGCTGGTGATCTCTCTCTGAGCTGAGTCTCTGATAGAGGGAGGCTGGGGAAAACAGAGTCTGTTAGTGCGTGGTGTTACAATTCTTAATGGCTAAGAAGATGTTTCCTTTATCTCTAGTGCTGTATCCGTGTCAATAATAGAGGGCTGAGGGCTATATGTTTGTAAGCTTTTAACCCTGATGTTGAGCACTGAAGAGTTGATGTGATGCTACATAGTTGGCTTCCATGCTGTGTTTTTCTGTGTGTTTAAATGATGAACCCATTCAAGTATTAGTATGTTAAAATCAGCCAGCACTCAAAAGCTAAGAAATGCCACGATTAAGTTTATTTTATTACGGATGATCATACTCGGGGTTTGAGTAATCTTTAGAAGAAGTTTCAGTGTGGTGAGAATAGATGATACTGAGGAAGAGTAAGTTGTTACATGTGAATGGTCAAACAGGCAGAGATGACAGGCTGGAGGCGAGTTCTTTGGACAACAGATGACACAAACCCCAGAGGAAGCAAAACCTGAGAAGCTCAGTGAACCTTAAGTGCAGTCAGGTCCCATCTCACAGGTGAAAGGAGACCCTGAAGCGTGGCGGCTGGGCCTGCCTGAGCAAGTAATGCAGTCCAGTGAGAGCAGATTCAGAGAATGAAATAATTGGTGAAGAGGACCTGATACCTATCTATGCTCAGTGCAGTTCCTAAGTGATGTGGGTGTTACTTTGGACGGGCTCCTGGCTTCTCCCGTGCCCCCTCGGCAATGGTAGTGCTCCTGGAGTACATCTTGTGGTTTTTAGTTTCATCTGAAAAGAACCAGGTTTGTGCACTCCAGGACTGCTTCATGCAGCAAATGAAAGTGTATTAACTAGGGTGATGGGAAGATTTGTTGCAAAAGTGCTTTCCTTATCTGAACTAAAGTACTAATGCAGATGTATCCTGTAAGACATCAGAACCTGTACAAGCTGAGCGCCAGCGAAGCAGTCTTCTTACAGTGGAGTCTCTGCTCAGGCAAGAGAGGAATGGGAATGTATTTTGTACGGACGGTCTTGTGGTTGTCTGTGACTTAGTGTCTCAGGTCTAGTGGTGAGAACCAAGCATCTTACGGCCTTGTGTCCCCGCACTGCTGCAAAGATATTCTTGCAATTCACTGGCTCAGTGTGTTTTGTTTGAGAGAGGAGAATAGTTTCTCTTTCGTCTTTCTGTTCTCCAGTTATTCCTGTAGCCCGATTAGGAGATAGATGTGTTGTCGTCCTTTATGAGTTTCCTTTTTCGATAACACCAACGTTTTTCATTCTAATACATACAGGTGAAAGGGAAGTGATCTTGACTGAAAATCTGAACTACAGTGATCCAAACCTCGCTGCTGATATGCAGAAGTTAAAATACATACTTGACAGTTCTGTAGTTAGTGTAAGGACTGCAGTAGTAGCTGAAATGACTTTTACATTTGAATTTGCTTATAAGCACAATGTTTTGCAGAGTGGCTTTTTAAAAAATATTGGAAGAGTATTTTTAATTTTACTTAGTGTGATTTTCTGTATTTAATAAAATTTAATGTTTTACGTGGGGGATATGTTTTTAATTTATCAGTTTGGAAACAGCTGTTTTTTTTTAAATGGATGAACATGCTTAGTATGATTAGAGCTGTATCATTAGAAAAGTGGGTTTTATGCATATAATTCAGATGCTATTTTTTTTCTTTAAAGCTAAAGTTTCCTGAGTTGTAGAGTTGACCTTGTCTGTGGTCTATAATAGTCATAACAATTAGATTTAAGAATCATTAATAACTATGCTTAATTGCAACCTAATTTCTTTATATATAACCTGTGCACAAGATTTCAATTAGTTTAAACATATGAAAAGGTTTAAGAGTCTTTGTTACCATGTTATTAAAAGATCATTTGGGACAAAGGAAAAATTGACACAGATGCTAACTTTTTAAAGGACCCAGTTTTAAATTTAACGTCTGCTAACTTTTTTTTTTAATTAAAAGTGCAAGGTGTATGTGGTGTGTGGTTTTATTTTTTTTTTTTTTTTTTTTTTATCTAGGGAGAATGTACCTAATGTGTATTGCATAACAACACGGCTAAATCATTATTTAAAGACAAAGCAAAATCTTGTCAGATTAAGTAAGTGCTTCTGTTGTCGCATTTCAATTAACCACACTTCTGTTTGAGGTTCTGTGTTCAAGTGGGTTACGTTAGATAATGCTGTTTGTCATGGCAATCTTTACATGGCTTACATGATATATTTTTACCCAAATTATATTGAATAGATAATGTGTCTGACTTGCTTATGGGGGTAACTTTATTATAATCTCACAATTTTTGATGTCCTCATTTTA